TGGTTAATTTCCTGAAAAAAACGATTTAAAACGATTTAAAATGACCATGATGGAGGCTTTGGAAAGCTTTCCATCGGCATTTGACGGTATTCAAGCGATTTTTTTTACCACCCAATTATTATTTTGTTTTAGGAAATTAACCACCGGTAGGCCATGGCCTACCTCATGGTATACCCCATGGCCTACCCCCCGTTTTGTCCCTACCCCATGGCCTACCCCATGGCCTACCCCATGGCCTACCCCATGGCCTACCCCATGGCCTACCCATGGCCTACCCCACGTTATATAGTGCAGTTACATAAGCTCTAAAAAACGTTCGCTCGCGTCCAACACAGAGCTGGCATATTACGAAATGATGACAATTTGTACTACCAAATAGGGTTGGTTGGAAGATTGCTTGACTAATAACACAAAAGGACGAGTTCAACGTCTTGCAAGTAATACTTATTCATTACACGAGGTATAGCTTCGCTAATGGAACTAAATTAATTATAGGGGACATGTTAGAACAAAGATTACGAAACGTTAGCACTAAATGGGGCCGGTTCGTCAGGCTGAATAGATAACGAGGCAGATGACTGGTTGACACTTAACATCAAAAAGGAATAGAACGCAAGTAAAGTGCAGTAACCCACTCGGTCGATATCTATTATTTATCAGATGAGCTAAATAAATGCGCGAAAAGATCTCACATAACAAACAAACGTCTTTTGAGTATCTAAGGGACGCAAATTGGTAAAGAAGAATCTGATTTTCAAACAAGCCAACAGCTTTTCAACAATGAAGAATCCGCTGCTGCTGCTGTCCTTTGTTACATGGATGCTTTGCACAGGCGTAAGTTGAGTTTCGATTTTCGTCATTTTATTTAATCGCGTACAAATGTCACAATACACGTAAAATGGAGTCTTCGTATGGCTTTTCTTGTTCTTTCAATTACATTTTTTACTTCATTACAGGGGCACCCAAGACAAAATTTTCCTGTAGGTGTCGGAACGTCGTTTTTACTGTAGATTTGTGCAGTGTACCTGTTCGGATACGTTAGCTGAACTTTGAAACTTCAGAAAAATTTAGGGATTGAAATCTTATTACCTGAATTTATGAGCTGCTTTTGCCTTTCGGAAAATCCTAGCTGGTCTTTTTTTGTACCCAAAACGACATTTTTATCTCTCCGAAAACAATTTCTCATATTAAGAAAGTTCGAGATGGCATTTCCCTATCCGAATATCTGAGGTGATTATAGGCCTTCCAAACGGATATTCTACCGAAACGATCCGTTGGGTTCTCCTGTTCATTAGTTGTTTAATCGAATTAGTATAAATATTTCCATGAAGAATTTGACAAAAAAGGAGGCTAACTTTCATTGATGCTGAAACACTTAAATATACTTATCTACAAAAAGATGATGTCATGTTTTTGTACCCACACGTCTTTTCTTTGTTCGCGAAGTTCGTTTTTTTGCGTAAACAAAACTTATGGTGTTACTTTTTTGTAACTGCACTGTTTCTTCGCTGTTCAGTTATTCTCTGGAACGCGTGGTTATGGTCTTTTAAAGGGATATAGGAACTAGCACAGTTTGATCTGCTGTGATTCTTTAACCGTCTATTTTAAAATCAAAGTGTCTATGAGCCACTGAATTCGTTAACGAGAGAGTGCCAACTTTTAGGCCAGTGACGTTGAAAAGGTGTTATACAAGTGCATGAGGCAGTGCAAATAAAAGTTCAATACTGATTATGCATTTCATACATAAAAAACCTGTTTCGTATTGTAAAAGCTTAACTGTGTTGTGTATGTCGCGAAGCACCAACCATCTTTCTAAAACACTGTAAAACAATATGTGAGTCCATTCACCGAGCGATTCGCAAGAAACAGATCCATGAAAACATAGCCATTGAAATATCCATAAAACAGATCCATGAAAACACTAAAACTAGACGTTTGGTGAGTAAATCGAGTCACTTACAGCTCATAGCTACACTTTGGTAGTCGCTCGGATCGGTGTGTGCGAACTGACTTGAGCCCGCGGTGTCTCTCTTCAATAAATAAGCGGTTCAATATCATCCTGATGCTCAATAACCGTCTTATTGCGTTATTAAGCGGCCGATGCCCATATATGGGCATCGAGCCGCTTCAAGAAATGGACGGGTTTTTTTCATAGTCACTAGCCCTAGCCCTCTACACGGTTGACATGATGTTATCGCATCTCGATCTAAAATTAGCCAGTAGAGAATTTCTCTTCCACAGGCTTTCTGTAGTGTCGTGTAAGTGCGTACATGTATTGAGTTTATTACAGGAATCGCATTGAAAAAAGCAAAGACAAATGTCCCACAGCAGTTACCCTGGTCCCAGAGGTTTTCTTTCTTCTTTCTTCTTCGACTCGCTTCCGCCGCTTCGCGGCTCAAGTTCGATTGAGAAAGAAAAGAAAATATTCCAGGTAAATAGCAGTTAAAGGATATTTTCGTCACAAAAGGAGTATATAATTTAATGATTCGTCTACAGATTAATGTGCGAACATTTAGATATTTAGATAGTAAAACGTTTTCTTTCTTTAAACAGAGAGACACGGTCATACGTGTGGTGGAGGCTGCTGTACGTTTCCTTTCAAGTATAAAGGGAAGACGTACCGCTCCTGTACCTATGCCGGACATATCAGACCGTGGTGTGCATATCATCGTTACTACATTTGGGGTCGGTGGGATAATTGCGGTAAGTAAAGAACTAATAAAATTAAATTGACGAGATCGATCGAAGTCAATATTATTAGTGCTTTTCGCGCGCTCTTATTGGTTACTCCTTTGCTATTTACCTCCACCAAGAGAGAATGATCTAAGAGAAGCATCCCCCTTTCCCCCATAATACAAGGATCTCTTCCAATAATACTTTTTTGAAGTCTACTTTTAATATTCAGTCCAGAGCCTAGCCTGTTCCAGGCGTTCTGATATTTGGGGAGCGACGCGAAGCGCGAAGAGCGGCGAGGAAAAATAGGTGAGGGGGCTGCCTGTTCTTCACGCTTCGCGCGTCTTTTCACGTCGCTTCTCAATTTTCCGAACGCCTGGAACAGGCCATCCAGAGCCAAGCTATCTTATGAGCGCCACCTGATTGGTCAGTTCGAGTAATGTGATATCGGGACGTCAATTAGAAGGAAATAAAAATATATTTCACGGCAAGGCGCGAGACTCTCTAATAGGCCATTTCCGAGTTGCCGATTCCTGGTGCACAACCTTTGTTATGGAAATGAGTTTTACCTGCACTTTTATTGTTATTCAAATCAAACTAATTTCCATAAAAAAAGATTGTGAACCTGGACTCGTTTTGAAACAGAGGCAAAAGCGGGCAACTCGGAAATGGCCTATTAGAAATACGCGTCTGACAGAAGCTCACGAAGGTAGGAGTGGGGACATTTTTGGTTGGAAGGGTTGAAGAGATTTTTTGAGGTCTGCAGACAGTCTGCGTTTATAATTTTCTCTGACTGGTGAATATAACATAGCCAGCAAATTCTTTACACAAGAAAAAAAATGGCATAGTTTTACTTCGTAAACTTCACTCTCAAATTACTCGCTTCTTCGACATATTTTCGTGTATAATTTGGATGTTATTTCGTAACATTTTATTTTGAAAAAAAAGCAACAATTTAGCGGTGCTAAGTGGTTGCGGACCTATTTTTATATTCAGCCTAATGGTACACTACACTGCAAGTGAATTACGCTTTTATATCACCATAGGATGATGACAACCGAAAAATCGCTTAAGTGACAGTACACTGTCCTCCCCAAAAAATTGTTCTTGCCTTTTTTTGGTTAATAATCGTTTGTAAATGCTCGAGGCGTGCAAAGTTTTGGATACAGCCCATTTTTGATAAAACAACATTTGTAAAGTCTGTTAACAGGTCATATTAGTGGTAACATTGGGAGACAGCTGAACTATAACAAAAGCATTTCTTAATGGACTCCAGATGTGTTACATTTAATATATTTGGCCTAGTGGTACACTACACTGTAAGTTTTAACTTAAAATTACGCTTTTCTATTGTCTCCAAACAAATGTGTTCTTTTTTTTCTTTTTTTTTTTTTGCTTCATGCTTCATGTGGTTAATATTCAAGTTTTGGAGAAAGGCTTGTAAAGTTTAGGATACAACCTATTTTTGATAAAACAAAATTTGTAAAGTTATACTGGGAAATGTTGGCTCTTGGTCGTTTCCGTATGAACGTTGCTAAGCTCGGCTTATACTGACCAAAACACCTCGGGCCAATATTCCCCAGTACCAACATTATTTTTGAGTATTAATGAACTCACTTCAAATTAATTTATCTCCTAGAGTGTACAGATAAAGAGATTCACCAAGTAGACTGTCCGTCTCATGCAAAATGCGTACCAGCTGTTGAAGGCATGGATGTGAAATGCTACGATGAACTTAATAAAGAATTGCTTTATTGAAACATAAATCAGGAATAAAAGTGGTTAGACATTGTAGAATCAAGTCTATCCAATTAAACTTTGTTGTTGTCGTTTGTATATCACCTTATAATTAATACCTTGCTTACTTTTTCAAGAAATAACGTTGGAAGGTAGCCCTGTCAACATGGTATATATCTTGCTTCTGTCTGTCCACCCTAAATGAAAACAGTTCCAGCATGTATTGAATAAGCAACCGAATTCTAATAAAGGCCAAAAAGCTTACTATTGTTGTAACTTTAATAAATAGCGTTCCACTATATGGATTCTGAAGATTTGTTTATCACTGAATAATAAAATAATCTCTGAATAATAAACTAATCATCCCAGGTGACTAGTCAGTAGTTGGCGAAGGTAGAGATAGAAGAGACGAATCGATTTTAAAAAGGGCCACTTTATATCATGCATGCTTTGCGGCTGTTTGTTTCTTATTTTGAATAACACTTCAATTGAAAAAATGTTGGTAACATAATGTAAGCTTAGTAGAAATACAATGAGAAAGATGTTTTTCAGTCAGCGAGACAACCTACTCGGAAAAAAATAATTCCAAGTTCTCCCAACATGAGTCAAACCTATGAACTTCCGCACACCGGTCGGACGCTCTCTGACCACTGAGCTACAGGAGACTCGATTGACCTAAGGCCAGCCATATAACTAGGTTTAAATTTGATAAACAACCCGCACACTTCATCTAGAATTAGTTTTGTCGATATGTTAGATATATATATGGAAATAAATGACGGTAAATGTTGAGGCTCGCAGGTAGCTAACTTATACGGTGTCCTATGAGGATCAGTAACAGAGTTACCTATACTTGATTCTTTGAAATAAAACTTGATTCTTTGAAAACAATCTTGATTCTTTGAAACGCAAACTTGATTCTTTGAAACGCAAACTTCATTCTTTGAAACGCAAACTTGATTCTTTGAAACGCAAACTTGATTCTTTGAAATGCAAACTTGATTCTTTGAAACGAAAACTTGATTCTTTGAAACGAAAACTTGATTCTTTGAAACGCAAACTTGATTCTTTGAAACGCAAACTTGATTCTTTTAAAACAATCTTGATTCTTTGAAACGCAAACTTGATTCTTTAAAAAAAATCAAGTTTGCGTTTCAAAGAATCAAGATTGTTTTCAAAGAATCAAGTTTTATTTCAAAGAATCAAGTATAGGTAACTCTGATACTGATCCTCATAGGACACCGTACATTAGGTCAAATTTCATATCAAGCTACAGTCAGATCTCTATTAAGTGGTCACCTTCGGGAATAGCCAACTGACCGCTTAATAGAGGTGACCGCTTAATCGAGGTGTTCTAAAATTTGACAAAAAAAAAGGGAACAATTGAACGAGTGAACAGAGGTGGTGGCTTTGGTCTGGAGGTTCCTTATGAGTATATATTTGAAGGTGACAGATTTTCTTGGGCTATATCTCTAAAACAGGAACGGGGAATGGAGGAACGGGAATGCCGGGGGAATGGGGAACGGCAATGGGAATCCTCTAAAAGTCAAAATCTCTAAAAGCAGAAATCTCTAAAATAGGGAATCTCTAAAAGTCAAAATCTCTAAAAGGAGAAATCTCTAAAATAGGGAATCTCTAAAAGTCAAAATCTCTAAAAGGAGAAATCTCTAAAATAGGGAATCCTCTAAAAGTCAAAATCTCTAAAAGGAGAAATCTCTAAAATAGGGAATCCTCTAAAAGTCAAAATCTCTAAAAGGAGAAATCTCTAAAATAGGGAATCCTCTAAAAGTCAAAATCTCTAAAAGGAGAAATCTCTAAAATAGGGAATCTCTAAAAGTCAAAATCTCTAAAAGGAGAAATCTCTAAAATAGGGAATCTCTAAAAGTCAAAATCTCTAAAAGCAGGAATTTCTAAAATAGGGAATCTCTAAAAGTCAAAATCTCTAAAAGGAGAAATCTCTAAAATAGGGAATCCTCTAAAAGTCAAAATCTCTAAAAGGAGAAATCTCTAAAATAGGGAATCCTCTAAAAGTCAAAATCTCTAAAAGCAGGAATCTCTAAAATAGGAATCTCTAAAATAGGGAATCTCTAAAAGTCAAAATCTCTAAAAGGAGAAATCTCTAAAATAGGGAATCCTCTAAAAGTCAAAATCTCTAAAAGGAGAAATCTCTAAAATAGGGAATCTCTAAAAGTCAAAATCTCTAAAAGGAGAAATCTCTAAAATAGGGAATCTCTAAAAGTCAAAATCTCTAAAAGGAGAAATCTCTAAAATAGGGAATCTCTAAAAGTCAAAATCTCTAAAAGCAGGAATCTCTAAAATAGGGAATCTCTAAAAGTCAAAATCTCTAAAAGCAGGAATCTCTAAAATAGGGAATCTCTAAAATAGGGAATCTCTAAAAGTCAAAATCTCTAAAAGGAGAAATCTCTAAAATAGGGAATCTCTAAAAGTCAAAATCTCTAAAAGGAGAAATCTCTAAAATAGGGAATCTCTAAAAGTCAAAATCTCTAAAAGCAGGAATCTCTAAAATAGGGAATCTCTAAAAGTCAAAATCTCTAAAAGGAGAAATCTCTAAAATAGGGAATCTCTAAAAGTCAAAATCTCTAAAAGGAGAAATCTCTAAAATAGGGAATCTCTAAAAGTCAAAATCTCTAAAAGGAGAAATCTCTAAAATAGGGAATCTCTAAAAGTCAAAATCTCTAAAAGCAGGAATCTCTAAAATAGGGAATCTCTAAAAGTCAAAATCTCTAAAAGGAGAAATCTCTAAAATAGGGAATCTCTAAAAGTCAAAATCTCTAAAAGGAGAAATCTCTAAAATAGGGAATCTCTAAAAGTCAAAATCTCTAAAAGCAGGAATCTCTAAAATAGGGAATCTCTAAAAGTCAAAATCTCTAAAAGGAGAAATCTCTAAAATAGGGAATCTCTAAAAGTCAAAATCTCTAAAAGGAGAAATCTCTAAAATAGGGAATCTCTAAAAGTCAAAATCTCTAAAGGAAATCTCTAAAATAGGGAATCTCTAAAAGTCAAAATCTCTAAAAGGAGAAATCTCTAAAATAGGGAATCTCTAAAAGTCAAAATCTCTAAAAGGAGAATCTCTAAAATAGGGAATCTCTAAAAGTCAAAATCTCTAAAAGGAGAAATCTCTAAAATAGGGAATCTCTAAAAGTCAAAATCTCTAAAAGGAGAAATCTCTAAAATAGGGAATCTCTAAAAGTCAAAATCTCTAAAAGGAGAAATCTCTAAAATAGGGAATCTCTAAAAGTCAAAATCTCTAAAAGGAGAAATCTCTAAAATAGGGAATCTCTAAAAGTCAAAATCTCTAAAAGGAGAAATCTCTAAATAGGGAATCTCTAAAAGGAAATCTCTAAAATAGGGAATCTCTAAAAGTCAAAATCTCTAAAAGGAGAAATCTCTAAAATAGGGAATCTCTAAAAGTCAAAATCTCTAAAAGGAGAAATCTCTAAAATAGGGAATCTCTAAAAGTCAAAATCTCTAAAAGGAGGAATCTCTAAAATAGGGAATCTCTAAAAGTCAAAATCTCTAAAAGGAGAAATCTCTAAAATAGGGAATCTCTAAAAGTCAAAATCTCTAAAAGGAGAAATCTCTAAAATAGGGAATCTCTAAAAGTCAAAATCTCTAAAAGGAGAAATCTCTAAAATAGGGAATCTCTAAAAGTCAAAATCTCTAAAAGGAGAAATCTCTAAAATAGGGAATCTCTAAAAGTCAAAATCTCTAAAAGGAGAAATCTCTAAAATAGGGAATCTCTAAAAGTCAAAATCTCTAAAAGGAGAAATCTCTAAAATAGGGAATCTCTAAAAGTCAAAATCTCTAAAAGGAGAAATCTCTAAAATAGGGAATCTCTAAAAGTCAAAATCTCTAAAAGGAGAAATCTCTAAAATAGGGAATCTCTAAAAGTCAAAATCTCTAAAAGGAGAAATCTCTAAAATAGGGAATCTCTAAAAGTCAAAATCTCTAAAAGCAGGAATCTCTAAAATAGGGAATCTCTAAAAGTCAAAATCTCTAAAAGGAGAAATCTCTAAAATAGGGAATCTCTAAAAGGAGAAATCTCTAAAATAGGAATCTCTAAAAGTCAAATCTCTAAAATAGGGAATCTCTAAAAGTCAAAATCTCTAAAAGGAGAAATCTCTAAAATAGGAATCTCTAAAAGTCAAAATCTCTAAAAGGAGAAATCTCTAAAATAGGGAATCTCTAAAAGTCAAAATCTCTAAAAGAGAAATCTCTAAAATAGGGAATCTCTAAAAGTCAAAATCTCTAAAAGGAGAAATCTCTAAAATAGGGAATCTCTAAAAGTCAAAATCTCTAAAAGGAGAAATCTCTAAAATAGGGAATCTCTAAAAGTCAAAATCTCTAAAAGGAGAAATCTCTAAAATAGGGAATCTCTAAAAGTCAAAATCTCTAAAAGGAGGAATCTCTAAAATAGGGAATCTCTAAAAGTCAAAATCTCTAAAAGGAGGAATCTCTAAAATAGGGAATCTCTAAAAGTCAAAATCTCTAAAAGGAGGAATCTCTAAAATAGGGAATCTCTAAAAGTCAAAATCTCTAAAAGGAGAAATCTCTAAAATAGGGAATCTCTAAAAGTCAAAATCTCTAAAAGGAGAAATCTCTAAAATAGGGAATCTCTAAAAGTCAAAATCTCTAAAAGGAGAAATCTCTAAAATAGGGAATCTCTAAAAGTCAAAATCTCTAAAAGGAGAAGTCTCTAAAATAGGGAATCTCTAAAAGTCAAAATCTCTAAAAGGAGAAATCTCTAAAATAGGGAATCTCTAAAAGTCAAAATCTCTAAAAGGAGAAATCTCTAAAATAGGGAATCTCTAAAAGTCAAAATCTCTAAAAGGAGAAATCTCTAAAATAGGGAATCCTCTAAAAGTCAAAATCTCTAAAAGGAGAAATCTCTAAAATAGGGAATCTCTAAAAGTCAAAATCTCTAAAAGGAGAAATCTCTAAAATAGGGAATCTCTAAAAGTCAAAATCTCTAAAAGGAGGAATCTCTAAAAGTCAAAATCTCTAAAAGGAGAAATCTCTAAAATAGGGAATCTCTAAAAGTCAAAATCTGTAAAAGCAGGAATCTCTAAAATAGGGAATCTCTAAAAGTCAAAATCTCTAAAAGCAGGAATCTCTAAAATAGGGAATCTCTAAACGTCAAAATCTCTAAAAGGAGAAATCTCTAAAATAGGGAATCTCTAAAAGTCAAAATCTCTAAAAGCAGGAATCTCTAAAATAGGGAATCTCTAAAAGTCAAAATCTCTAAAAGGAGAAATCTCTAAAAGGCGGAATCTCTAAAAGGAGGAATCTCTAAAATAAGGAATCTCCAAAAGGCGGAATCTCTAAAATAGAGAATCTCTAAAAGGCAAAATCTCTAAAAGGCGGAATCTCTAAATATAATGCATTTACAAATATTTCAGAAATGGTGTCAGAAATGTCAGAAAATCTCCAAATTTGATTAAAAAAAAGAAAAATATAAAGATGCTAAAACAGCAAATATTTTGTAAGGATTTCATCGTAAAAAGCAAAAACTTCATGAGAAATAAGCAAAAAAACCCACCAAATTTGGGTAAAACGTTCTGTATCTCGAAAAGTATTTGTTCTATAATCAAAGGCTTCTATGAGCCAGCCATCAGCATGTAATTGATTTTAATGACATTCATTG